GACATGTCTCGGATACGGATCCAGAACTGAATTCTTTAAAACAAAATGGCCGCCAGTCGGCCATTTCGAACATGATCCGAAAAAAAAAAGACGTGCATCAAGGTCCTATTATGTTTAATGTATGTACTAAATTTGAACAAAATCCGTCTATGCATAACTGAGATCCAGGTTCGGAATGGTGAAAATGTGCGATTTTGAAGCATTTTCGGCCTTAAAATGCCCGCTATTCGGCTATTGTTAATCGGATCATGAAAAAAATGCATGTGCATATGTCCCATATAATGTGTGATGTATGAGTGAAGATTGAACTTAATCGGTCCATGCATGTTCGAGATACAGGTGATCACAGACGCACGGACGCACACAGGGCAAAACATAAGTCCCCGTTTTCGGACTACGTCCGAACGGGGACTAAAAACAATTCTGTGATCAGTCACAATTTTACAAAAATCTGCCAAATAATTGTGGTCAAAGCGGAAAAACTACCAGTATGGAGTTTTTATGGTACATGAAGTACCGGTACAAATGGCAGACAGTCAGCCATATTGCATTGTAAAAGATGTTTTTGCATATGTAAACCATTCCAATCCTCAATCAAGTTTGTTTGAATAGTATAGAAACAAACATACTGGTACTATAGGGGGTTTACTGTCCATATCAACACTAACATGTAGCCATGCAACAATATGTACCAGGTATTATAAAATTACAACTACTCTGAACTGAATTCATGAAATGGACATTCTAAGACATTGACTTAAGAGCTTACCTTTACATCTTGCAGTATATGCCATCTTTTTCTTAGCTGAAATAGAAAAATAATATGCTATCATTTGTCTCTGTATCAATGCATCAGAATCAATGATCAACATTTCCAAATATCTGAAGTGAAAATAAGTGAACTTGCCTTGTCTGCATTCATAAGTTCTAATCTGAAATACTGAAAATGAAACAGAAATTGACATTTTGGATTTAAGTTATTTCATGTACAAAATGTATTGATCAAATCACATAATAATTTAATTTAATGACTCCCAGTCTATCTTGTTAGCTTTGCTATCTTTGAATTTGCCATAAATATTTCTGCAAATATTTTCTAATATTTTTTTTTCAAATTTTGGACCAGATGAGCATAAATCCCCATTAGCTACAAATGATTTAAAGTTGTGAAAAAAATATACTGGTAGAATCGAGCACTGACAATGTAGTATCAATTTGGTATTACAGTTGTAGTTGATCAGTACAATCACATAGAAATGGTACATGTACGCCAAAGGACTCCATGCATAATCTCTAGGTCAAATTCAATACAGCACGATAGAAATTGCATAAACTGACAAAATGTAGTGATTAATAACCACACATACAGACACTAGTATAAATACCATACAAAATAACCAAATGGCTACCAGTCAGCCATTTTGGTTGAGTCTTAAAAAAAAAAGCCTGATGTGCATCTGTTCTCAGTATGTATGATCATGATAAAAAGTTATTGAAATCATCTGGCTGTGTCTGAAAAAATGTTCCTGTTATATTTATGGCTGCAATTTTATGATTTAAGACAAAACAGCAAACAATTTGACAAATTTGATAAAACACAAGCATTTCATTTTATTTTTTTTACTTACCTCAGCCCAAAGTTTTCTGGATTCAGGATGAAATCTCAGTGCTCTGAGTAACAGACCTCTAGCACTATCTGGCGAGTTGTGATCTTCCATTTCAAACTTAGCAGCCATAATCCATAAACCTACCAATCAAATACATGTGAAATTGCATAGTTTTAAAGATAAAAGCAAACTGAGCAAATTAATTCATTCAATACTAGTAACTTGCATTTCCTGAAGACACAAATCTAAGTTGACGTTTTTTGTTTCCTAAAACTTCAACTTCTGACAATCCCTCTATTGGTACCATATTTATTTTTGTTGTATGTTCTCAAATGTAGGCATTGTGGACTATAAATTACGGCACATTTACAACAACAGCATATTTAGCCTGACAGATTCAACTCAAATGCATGTTTTTTTTTTAGCTGCAATTACAATGAACAACAAAAATGTATAAAATTGTAAATGCATTAATTTCAATTTCAAAAATGTTAGGTTAAATTTATGTGAACATGTAAAGTTTCAACATAGATCATTGTTCCTCTGGTAAATTAATGAATTTAAACCCAGTGAATATATACTCAAAATATCAAACAATGGTCATTTTAATACCAGGAAAAAAATAATACTTTTACAGTTTTTGAGAGTACAAGCTTATTAATTTCAGCTGAATGAATACCAACAGTGTCCCTACCAACAACATTAGAATGTATCTTGACAAGCTTTGCAAATATTTTACTTAGTGCTGCACGTCTATTCTGTAAATAAAACAAAGAAAATAATAAGCCCGCAATTGAATAATTAAACAATGTATCAATACTTGTCACACCATTCAAGATTTTTTATTACAGTTGCATTCCAATTACATGTTATCTCATCAAAATGTCATGATTATCCATATATTCTGATATTGCCATAATAATTAGTTATTAAATATTTAGTGTTCTGATAATTGAAACTAATAATGATAACAGCATAATTTATACAATTAAAAATATTACCGTACTTCCCCGAGTATAAGCCCAGGGGCCTGAACATGTAAAATCGGGAAAATTTGGGGGTGGGCTTATACTCGAGGACCACCTCAGAAAAAATAATTTTTTGGTGGTTTTAAAATTGTAAAAATCTTCCCAACCTCTAAAAATTACCAAATTACATTTTTTGTTCACAGCACTCGTCTCGGAGAAATATTATCGTACGTCTTTTTAAGGACAAAATGCGTCACTGATTCCCAGGACACTTTTTAAAATACACATATTTTATTACAATACGGTTTACATACCGTCTGAATTTACGGTGCAAAAATGGGTAGGGTCTGTAGGAAAACGATCGAAGGCAAGATCTTTATCATTATCTTCGTTGTGGAATGTTTTTGATCGTACGGAAACTCTTGATACAAGGCTATTTCCGCCATGGTGTTTTTCATCATGATTTGACCTGAACTAACTTCCTTTGATCTAACAGGTCACGTCTTTCGTTAACCAATGAAAATGCTGTGTCGTACAGACGAAGTTTCCCAATTATGGACAAAGTAATTTTTTTAACGCAATGCAGAAGTGAATTACCGCGATGTTGAAATGCGACCTGTTAACACTGATTTTGACAAAAAACAGGTGAATATTTTTCCTAAAAGCTGTTGATCTGCAATTTTTGAAAGATAAACTGACAGCTGCCAACAAGTCATGTCAAAGAATACTAGTACTTTGCTCGTTTACACCCCAGTCACGATATGGACACGATTCTCTGGAAAAGTAAAACGATGACCAGGTTTCACGACGTGACGATCACATTTTTGGTGTTTGAAAACATACTATTAAAAAGAAATATGGATTATTTCAGTATTGCAACATCGGTGTTCATCTCGAGTGAATAACAGAATAGAAAAGGTGCAAACTATGTCCTGTGCGTTTGCCCGCCATGCACTCTGAAATTACTAGTAATTCAAGTTTTCTCGTAAAAGCTGGAACCAAACAATGAAATACAATTTTTACATGCATATTTTAATAAATGTCATTGACACCAGGTAAAAACACCTTGGGCCTATATTCGAGGATGCCCTCAACTAGTTAAATGTCCAAAAACAGAGGGGTGGGCTTATACTCTGTATAATAAAAATACTATGTAAATACTGTAAAGGGGGTAATTATTCACTGTGTTTTAATTTAGCTTATTTCGCTGACTGGAAAAATGCGCTAAATTAAAACACAGTGAATATGTAAAATTTAGCATAGAACACATTATCTAAATGACGAAACCGTGAATTTAAAACCCACTGAATATGCCTGAAATGGTAAATCAGTGAAATTTAAACCCAGTGAAAATTAGTCATTTTACAGTAATTATTTTTGTAATTCAGGAAGCGACATATTTCCTTTGAGTGTAATTCATTACATGACACTTTGAAGTACCTGGTAACTCATTACATAATGTAGGAGTTAAAATGTCACTTACCCATTTCTTACAGAATTGAATATATGACATCCACAACTTGATGTCATCATTGTAATGGCTACATGCTCTCTAAGTGAGAAATTAAAAAGACGCAAAGTTTTGGTAACATTTAAAAATAAGATCTATCGGTATTTGTTTTTTTAAATAATTTGACATATGAGTATCTGGTAGCCTAGGACTTTTGTGGAGTTTCACTTCTAAATACCTATGTCCAAGTATGACTGTAATACATCTCGGGCCCAAAAAAATAGGTTTTGAAACCTGTGCTTGACATTTTTGTTGTTGCAATTTTGGACACAGGTAAATTTTGCCACCTAAGGTTGAATGGGAAACTTTTTGTTTTTTAGTATACAACATCATGTTGTGGTACTAAATAATCTTAATACAAAAAACAAAAATAAATTTTCAATTTTCCCTAGAACAAGAAACACTTTTTTTTGCCAATGTACGTTAGAGCACACACACATTGGCAAGTTTTAATAGTCCAGGTGACGATTTCACCATCATCAGCAATCAACATATAATTGAAGAGGTTTATATGCACAACACTTTCATTCAACCGACCAACGGTTTATCAGTAGATGCTGTGCCTTTGAGTTGAAGTGCACATAGTAAGAAGAAATGTACATAGATTCTAGGAAGCTGGGTGACTTGCATTAAGGGCTGAGTAGCATAGTTGGTTATATGACTATGATATTGTCAGTGACTTGTAAGCCCATTGGGCTGGGTGACAGATTTTTATTTTCAAGCTATGTATTTATTGAATATTTTCTTATTGTCAAACGTCACTTTAATAAATACAACCGATACTACTACTATATGACTATGATATTGTCATCTTATACAAATTCTGTTACCTTGAACAAGTTGATCACTCTTTGCACAATGCTGTATTCAATTTCTTCCTTCTTGAAGAAATAGCCAATTCTCTGTGGAATTATAAGGGAACAGTATGCAGTATTAGAAATCATTTTACATAAATCTCCATCATGAGTTAATGCTGGAAGCTGATAACACAGGTGTATAAAATAATTTAGTTTTTCTTAAAAGTCATATTTGCACTTAATCAAAATGTTTTTGTACTCGTTCCAACATTTAAAATTTCTCTTTTATAGAGACAAACCACATCACCAACATTGAATGTGTTCCATATTATTTGTCACTTTCACCATAACAGAAAGATAATTTTGGTTCAAGTATTACTTTATGCTTATTAAACTACTCACCTTTCTTCTTTTAGTGACTAGGGATAATAAATTAATTTCATACTGAAACAAAATAATAACAATAATAAATATATGTAGTCTATCAGATTATAACTGTGCATGATTTCCATGTTTGTAAGTGTTTGAAATTCAATAATAGAACACAAGCCTTGGACTTGGTTTTTAAAAACAGCTGGCAGGCTACAGGGATTTTTCTAGAAAAAAACTGCAAGAGGTGGAGCACTGCAATTCATCGGTGCCACCAAGTGGGGTAGATAGGGTTCTCCCGACCAGGGTGTAGAGTTTTTGATAATTCTAAGTTAAAATGAAGCATTCTATGGCTTCCTTGGGCCAAAATTACTATCAGACAGGTCACAGTTGAAGACTGTGGCTCCATGTGATCCCTGGTCAATCAGAATTTTATGGTTGCAAGAGGATCTGCTCCCCAGGGTAAGGGGGCGTATAACCATGGCATAAGGGCGCTGCGCCCCTGTTCCCTTGTTTAAACAAATCCCTGGGCTAGAAATGGCTCTCCTGAACACCATGTTTTGATATCTGTTGATAAAACAATCGCAATCACTATTAACAGTGCTCATAGTCGTGTGATCTTGATTTGATTAGATATTTAAACCTGGTAACCAGTTGATTCAGTTTTGGGACAGGATCACAGGTCTTCTAGTGCCAGATGGCTAACCATGTTCAAGTTTTGTTTAAGACAATTCCAATGCCAAATTTTGTGGAGGAACTAAAACACTCTGTACCTACTAACTAATGTCAAGTGTACCTGAATATATCTGAGAAAATCTTCTTTTTCTTTTGACTTCCTTGCAAGCTTGTATTCATGACCCCTCACTCTCTTCACAATAGCCCTTGAAATTATGAAGTACAATATTAGATGGAAATCCAAGAGCAGACATGTTCCATTGTAATAAATTTGTAATTGTAATAAATTAAGAAATAATGAAATTAAGCTTGGAAAGGTTTACAACTGATTCATGAAATACTGAAGAACGTATAAGGAATTATATGTGAAGTGTTTTTTTTTTGTTTTTTTCCAAGTATTTTATTGCAATATAAATGATGTTAAGTTAATATTTACACTTTCTCCAATTCTATCATATCTATATAGAGCCACTGGGCATTTTTATTTTTTTATTTTTGTCACACACATCATAGGACTTTATTGTACTGTGTAGAGTCTACGCCACGCCACTGTAATTGTTTTACACAAAATACTCCATCACAGTCGGCAGTTATCTCATGGAGAGCTTCTGCAACTCAAAAAGAAGACTTTCTATTGCAGTAAATATCGTTAACACCATGGACGTATACAAACATTTCATCAATACTGGTTATTTATTTGTGACGAATCATAGTTATCTACTCCGGTAATTCAATTCTGACAGAGACGTGACAGGAGACAGAAAAATGATAATTTCAAGCTTGATATCACTTCCGGTTTGGAAACAATATTGAAACCACTCATTACAAATACAACAATAACTGTCGTGACGCTTACTTTATCTCGGCTTTGTTAAACAATCCTACTCTTTCGAGTTGTTCCAGTTCAGTGAGCCTTTCTTCAAGACGTTGTTGTACAAATTCTGCCATGTCTGTTGTATTTTCCTAACCAGCATTTGATTCAAATGTATGTTGCAGACTACGAAACACATGGACAGTTTCTTTACTGCGCATGCGCAGTTCAATCAAAAAGGATGTTGGTGTATTCTCGTTTACCAGAATAATTGTTGTGCCAGATTTGGATTATTTGTATAATATAAACCACAGCGTACTCAGATAATTGATTTTGTCTGGAATTGTGCTGACTGCACACAGAAAACTTGTATTTTGTATCGGAGTCAACTGTAGGTCATCACGTGAAACCGAGGCTTAGGATTCCAAAACGAGGCGTTGTTAGATACCATAATGGCGTCCCAAGAAGAGATTGCTGCCAAAGCTGCTGACGTTTTACAAGGAATTGCAAGGCAAATCAACTGCCTTTCCGATGATAACAGAACCACTAGGCGACGTGGCATTGATGGAATTCGCAAGGCAACTCTAGGAAAGGAACCACCACTGGAGAAAGAAATTCTCAAAGAAGTCCTCAATCACATCGTAAAATCCATTTTGAAATGTTTCAGTGATCCTGTTGAAAAATGCCGTGAGTTAGCCATACACTTTATTGGTGACTATATCACAAGCGTTGATAATTTCGAAGATATTCTGCCGTACCTCATACCAACACTTGTACAGAGGCTAGGCTGTAAGGAAATCGTGGAAAATGCCGAAGAACTGCGACTGACTTTGGTGGAGTTATTAACCAAAATTGTTGAGATTTGTAAGAAAAATGTTGCCCCCTATTTAGATGACATGATCCAAATTCTCCAGAAAACTATTGTTGATCCATATCCGGAAGTGAAAAAACAAAGTTGTAAATGCACCTCTCTGTTAGCCAAGACAATTCCTGAACATTTCCACTTGCTGTCTGAATCGCTGATTGCCCCCCTGCTTCTGACAGTCAGTCACCAACATTCCAAAGTTCGCGTCGCTTGTATCAACACTATAGGTGATGTTCTGCAATACGGTAGTCCCAAACCAATGGAGAATGTCATTCCGCACCTAACACAACGTTTTTTTGACCAAGCACCAACAGTCAGAGTTGCTGTAACTGACGTAGTTGGGCACTGGCTGTTGGATTTTATTGATCGTTACTCGTTCCATTCAAAGCTGATTCCACTTCTGCTTGGTAGTGTTAGCGATGAATTGCCAGAAATACAAAATCAGGTATGTACCGGTAATTATGTAATGAAGGTAACCCTGCTGGCAAAAGGAATGCAAACCAGTGGAAGAAGTTTTTCCAAAGCGTCTTGGTGAATAGTATATTTGTTTTGAGCAGTTAGTGAAAAATGGCATGTTCTGTTACTTTTCTCTTGGTGTCTTTACTTACATGTAACCATGGAAGTAAGGAGGCATCCATGATGGCATAACCCTAAACTCACTAGGTATCTGTCATTCATCAACAAATCCACAGTACATCTAACAACACTTCTCTAATACTGGTGTTAAACCTTATCAGCATCCAGGAAATTAGTCATAAAAGTGACTGAAACTGCACAGCCATCTAAACACTTGTATAATCACAGATACTAGAAAACTATACTGTGTTAATTAATTGAAATCCTATGAAGCAGATATTGATGGAAAAAGTAATGCCTGAATTCAAACTGCTTCTAAATGCTTTTCTATGTAAACACATTTCACTGTTAGTACGCAGGGGTAGTACCGGTAGTGTAAAATAAACAGAACAAATTTTTAAATGTTCTCAACAACAGCTTGACAAGAATCATTTTGATTGGTAATAAAATTGATGTGTTCAAACACGTCATCTAAAATAACCCTGTTAACACGTTTGTCACATTCATTGTCTTTTTAGGCAAAACAATTGTGGAAGGATGTTGGTGCTAAATATCAAGATGAAAACGAAGAAGAACTGAAAAAACAAATTGATTTTGGTGGTCCTGATCCAGCACTACCACCAGGAGAAGGTGAAAATGAATCAATGATTATGTCAGAGTATGTTTATGTGATATATACATATACATACCGGTAATATTAACTCATTATACCACATTAAAAACTGTCATTAACTTACACTGCTCAACCAAGTTTTCATGTGAGATGGAAGGCATCATCGTCACTTTCATACACCCAAGGAATAATTTTTCTACTACCATATAATCCTCTATTACAAGCGCATCTCAAATAGAAGTGCACTCAGACCCAGAACTGCGCTTATAGTATATTTGTCATAATAAATACTGTGTGATGTATATATTTTTTTGTTAATCTCGTGGCTACATTTACTTAGTGTACCTCCATCTATTTTTGTCATTCAAGATGAACGTCCTGGTCTTGGATGCCGAATTCTAGTGTATCGAAACCTTATCAAGATTCTGCCCGGTATAGTGAATGACCTCTCAGATTGGACGGTATCTAACCGAGTCATGTCCTCCAAGTTACTGTGCGTGTTGTTACTTAATGCTGAAGACCATGTGACCCAACACCTGGCTGCCTTGTTAACTGGGCTATATAAGGCTTGTGGTGACGATGAACAACAGGTGGTTGAAAGGGTATGTTCAGTCTGTACCTCTGAGTTAATAATAGTTGGATATTGTTGTAATGCAGTTTAAATTATTTAAATCAGTGTATTGTCAGTAGTGCATGTGCTCACAAGAATGACAGAGATGTGTCCATTGTCATTATGCATGTACAATGAATGTGATTTTTGGTTCATGTGATGCACTTCTAATAAAGCGTATGCATCAGATTCCTGTTTATAGTTTCTTTTTAGTGTTATTTTCCTGTGACAGTATCGGTAGCCACTTCAAGATTGACACTGTAAATCATGTCTTTTTAGCCTGGTGTATTAGCTAATTTGCCTAATCTGTAATTTTGCTAATTCAAGATGTAGCTGATTTAAAAGAAAGTATATTCACACAATGAATGAGATTGTTGGCTTTTTAGCTGAATCAAGATTTTGTTAATTCATGTATTGAGTCAAATTCAATGTGTTTTGCTCTACATGTATTTAATAGATCCCTTGTAACAAGTAAGCAAGCATACAAAGGTGAAATAAAAATATTCCCATTCATTGTGCATGTACGTTTGAAATGCATGCATTGGAGCTTTTCTTAATGTTCTTTAAAAACAAACAAAGAGCTAAATTTTCATAAGAAATAAGTTCAATATTTATGAGAATTTTATGAGAAAAAAAAAACATTGACCGAGAGCTTTTTGGGTATTTGCATATTTTGAAATCCTTTGTTTATAGACATACTGGTTATATCTGTTCTCATAGGTGATCAAGTCAGCAGAGTTAACAGGATGGTTTGTGAAACCTGAAATCTATTGTAATCTTGTCTTACCCACACTGAAATCTTCCCAGAATGCAAATGTTCTTACTATATTTGCCGCTTTGATTAGAGGCACTCCGCCTGGTGTATTGCAGTCACGGTTACATGAGATATGTGATACACTAGCTGAACCGGATGTATGCAGAGCTGCTGAGGTGAGTCTCAGAATTGCTATTGAGTCAATAATACTTTAAAATTGTATCCCTACTTTATGTCACACACTTCCTACTGATTAAGGACAGCAGGCACCAGCACATGGAAGTAATAGAAACCCATACCCCTAAAGGCCTCTGATCAGATTTCTCACAAGAATTTGTGATTTTTTATCTCGTACAAACTCCATCACTCCATTGAATAGTATTCTGGACATTCTTACGAATATTATCAAATCAGCAAAAGTTTCCCAAACCGGTTCATCTACGTGCATACATACAATGTGTTGAATCAATTTGAATCTACATTGGCAATCTCATACTCTCAGTTGTTGGGAATGTAAGAATTATTCGTCTGACACTAAAACTTAAATGATTTATCTTAAATGATTCAGTAATGACAGTCAGTCTTTTAAAAATCACCATTCTTGTTTTGTTTTTCTTTTCTAAGATGAAGTATCTTTATCAAGTCCTGGCTTGCACTGACGCTGTTATCAGTAAATGTGGTGAAGACTGCAAAGAATATAGTTTACAGTTGTTCACTGTATTGCTGACTGTCTTGGCAATGACTAACAATATAGATCTTATGGATGAGGTAAGTTTTTTCATGTTACAGTAGCAATCATAATCTGAATGTAAATGTGCATATTATTTGCATATTATTTTGCACATGTATATGAATTTATTTCCACTTCACTCACAGGTCAAAGTAACTTTGAAAAAATTATCTGAAGTTCAAGGTCTTGGTGATTCGTACGAGTTATATCATCAGCACACTAAGCAAGTACTTGATAGTTTGAAGGGTAGTTATGAACAGTGGACTAACTACTCCACAGAAAGACTAATTTTTGATACATTACTCACTGAAGCAGGTAAGCATAACGTATATAAATAACACTTGAATCTTGATGGAAATGTGTATATGCATGTTGTCTGTTAATATCATTCTATAACATTCTAGGTATGATAAGGCATGATATGAGTGTAAACTATCAACCTGAGCCATCACAATATATTGTTTCCCAATTGCTTGGAGGTTAACCTGAAAGTATACACAGAGGAAGTCTGGCAATTAAATCTACTTGTGCACCACAGAAATTGATGCAATTCTGTACTGCCCGAGTGCTTACTTCGCGATATTCTCATGATAACCATGTTCTGATTGTAGTTGCAATTATAGTCACAACATCTCAACATAGATTCATGCCACCATGGCGTTATTTTTTTTCATGTCAAATGATACATTGTTGCTGCACTCATTTTCGATGCGAGATTTATACTAAATATGTTAAATTCTTTTTACTCATAGTATTCATTTCAATGATAATGTACATGTCTATTCCATTTTTACCCTTCCCACTGCAGGTCCTGTTGTTGGTGAGCATCTCGATGAGGTCATACCAATGCTTAAAACCAACTTGCGTCCCGAGAAAGACCCTGAATTACGACTCAAGTTATTCTCACTGCTTTCTAGACTGGTAACCAACGCTAGCTATACTCTCAACTCGCAGGAGAGGTTTGGTGACTTTGTAATCGTTGTAGTCAAGGATATGATCATACCTAACTGTGTGTGGCATGCTGGCAGGACTTCGGCGGCCGTCAGGACTATTACAGTGTCCTGCCTCTGGGCACTGTTCCAGAGTGAACTACTTACTGATGTGAAGGTACATATTGTATGCATTATTGTGACAGAATTGGTAAAAATGCATTACGTGTGAATGTCTTTTCCACATAATTGAATATTATTTGTTACCATGGTTATCAGTCATTTGTTTTGAAGTATCAACCACGTAGATATTCATCTATTAGAAGCACTTCTGTAATTGCATTGATTGTATACTGGATTATTATTTGTTTGGCTGTACAGCCATAGCTAATACTGCAAATATGTCAAAATATTTCATAATAACGACCCCCTTATGGGGAGTCAAAGTGAAGACAACTCCTTTGTCTTGAGCACCACAGTGAAGTATTCATGGTTGCAATTTTCTGTGAGTCACAAATATGTGCATTTAAGTTTGATCAGTACAGATTCATGAATGCCTATCATCTTGTTGTTCAAACAACTACATGTAATCTATGTATTGTTTCTCATTGTCATAAAAAAAGGGGAGTACCTGCCTATTTGTGAAGTGGTTTCAGTATTTTTCTCCGTTCAAATACATGGGCAATAGAACATGTTCTCTCTAGAATCTCCCATTGATCAATCTTAATATGGCTTACAGTATTCATGATTTTTTGTTTTTTCAACTTAGTTTATAATTCTGAATTATGGCATTATCAGCCTAACTAAAACTTTGCACATGTCCGTATTTCTACTTGTAATATTATCAAACCACATGCCTGTATTTCTATTTCTAGCTTAACCCAATACTAGATGACCTTGTGACTCAGCTAGTTTCTTTACTGGAAGATGACGTAAGAACCACTCGTCTGGTCACCTGCAGAGTTCTGCAGAAACTTCTTACACTCTGCAAGCATTCATTTGATCCTGAGAGATTGCATAAAATGTACATGGAGCTGCTCAAGAGAATGGATGATAGTAACGATGAAGTGAGAGTAGCCACGGCGAGGACCTTCTCGGCATACTTCAACTGCTTCCAGTCGGACTATGATGCTAGTTTTTACAGGGCACACCTTGAAGAAATGTACAAAGGTTTACTGGTACATCTTGATGATCCAGATCCCATTATACAGGATGCAGTCTTTGGTATGTTTTCTTATTTAATGATAATGAATCTTTTACATTATTGTATTGTACTAATTAATTTTCTGAATTATGTTTATGTTATTCTTGAAAAACCTGTATTTTTGGATATGAACAATTTGGCAGTAAAAAAGTAATAATCTAAACAGTGCACAATGTAAAACTTCAAGCCTATTTTACACATTTTAATCAGAGGGTTGAGTAGTTGCATTTGAATTTTAGTAAACATTAATTGTTATTAACACGTTGATAATGGCAACAGTGTAATCCAGCTGGGTACTCCCTGTACAAGATAGTTTTTCATCTTGAAACTAATTGGATTGAGTTGTGTTTTATTCTAGTATAGCTTTTAAAATACCAGTGTGTGTATGCATGAATACACTTTCTAATTGTCATATCTGAATCTGATATGGTACTCCTTATTTGTACTCCTGAGTTGGAATGATGCTGTCTCCTATGACTTCACTTCACATTATCACAAGCTCTCCAATGTGTACAAGTAATTTGTATTATATTTGTGATATATATACATTCTACTGGTCTATTATATGCATAATTATATTTTTATATTTTATATTATTGTTTCAGATGTTCTAAAACAAGCAGCCTCCATATGTCCAGCCATGTTACAGAGACAAATTGATGACGTCAAGCATAAACACCGAATTCCCAAATATTGTAATCATCTATCAGAACATATCAACACTCTACAGTCATCGTCATGACAACACTTTCTGAGAATTATTACGTAACATTTTTAGATCATTCACAGAGAGCTGTACTCGTTGAGTAATTTTCTGCAGCTAATTAATTTAATTGAGGTGTGAGAAACATGTTTAATATGTTTGTAGTGTTTTATTTGAATATCGCATATGATAATACTTTATCTATACATACCATGTGTAGAAGATCTGCTATAGATTGACAATATGTAGTCACGGCTTGTATTATAACAGTCATGAAATATGTAGTAGCTGGAGGCAGGTAACAGGTTTTTTGCACCTTTGGAGATGTGTACTACCAGTAGATGCTATGGTTGATTTTTCATTATTACAGAACATTTGTCACTTCATGTGGTTTTCAATAAGGGTCCTATGCGACATGTACAACACGTATAAAAAAAACCCACTGTTTATTTACACAATTTGAACAAGCAAATGATTGTAGTGTTTTAAATGATCAAAATTTACACAAATTCCATAATGTGTACTTTTACAACTGCTGCTATTTTGAAATATGTTCAAATAGTATTAAAGTGTTACCTGTGCTGGTTATGTGTAAGCAGTGAAAAGTAACTACTGTTTTGTGAAAGTCTTCGCTGCATTCACTTGCATGTTGTCAACTATACATCCCTATCTTTCTGGTAAAATCATGGTACTGATCAATCCTAACATGGCAACATACAGTAACAGTAAATTATGGGATGGCAGTATATTCATTTCTGTGATTATGTTATTGTTTTAATTATGTGTATATATGCAAATAATCTTGTGAGTTTTTATGACAGACATATTCAATGTTTAATAAGATGGCAACATACATTAGTCAACCCTTGTAAATTTTTCACCTTTTGCCCACAATTAGGGTTTTTTCGCAATTAATTTGATTAAAATTCGATGTAGGTCTAGGTCTAGACTCCAATATTTTTTTTTTATTTTTATTGTTATTCAAAAAATATAAAATTTAAAAAAAAAATTTGAGCCAGGACCTACTGTAAATTTTTTTTTAATAGAAATGGTGAATTTTTGGTTCTTAATTATTCAAAAAGAATGGGTGCGACTTTTATTAGGGTTGCGTCTTCTAATACAGATTTTACGGTACATTGCATTTTAATCTGATTGGGTTCTTTCCATGTGTGTATTCATTTGACAGTCACATTTTTGTTTCAAACTTGATACTTTAGTTGATTCCTGATAGTAGACATATTTTTTTCTAGATCAGATTAAAAAGAAAGTCAGACTGGTCATTTATGCTCAAATTCTGAATATTGGAACTGCATAATGGCTAATTGAGACACATTTGGTTCATTCTTATTCTTATTTTGGCTCAAAAATGCAATCTCTTCAAACTGGTAATTGTGTTGTTGCACACAAATCCAGATTTGATTTGTATCTTCAATCCAAGATGTCTGACAGGCAGCCATTTTGACTGACTGACGAATATAATAAATTTCACGAAAAAATGGTACATATGGATTGACCTCCCTTTTCTGTGCATGCGAACATCCATATCCACACATTATACACGTGTTGGACATATGCACATGCATTATTCTTCATTCAAGATAGCTGAATGGCAGCCATTTTTAAGCCAAAAATGCATCAAAATCGTATGTTTTACCATTCCGGAACCTGATCTCCGTCGTGCATGAACAGATTCTGTTCAAACTTGGCCTTTTCATTAAACCTTTCACCATAGATGTGAAACACACAAAATGGAGCACCATTTATTTGTCATAAGTATAAGAAAAAAGTGGGCTGCGACATTCTTAAACAAGCAGCCTCTCGGCTGAGATAGCTCCGCTGTTAGCACTGTACATTTCAATTAAAGAACAGAAGATATCATTAGAAAATGAACAATATGCATAGTATCAATGCAATGGGACTTGCTGTTGTCAACAAGAATTCAAAAATATCATTTTTCACTATAAATGATTGTGGTTTTTAACAAGAAGTCGAAAATATCACTTTTTACCAAAAATGATAAAAATATTCATCAAAATTAGAGAATTGAAGATATCATTACAAAATGGACAAATCTGAGAGAGGTCCACATGTAGTGTAGTACCTATATATGTAATATCAAAGCAATTGGACTTGCGGTTTTTAACAAGAAGTCAAAAATATCACTTTTTACCAAAAATGACAAAAATATTCACCAAAATTAGAGAATTAAAGATATCATTACAAAATGAACAAATCTGAGAGAGGTCCACATGTAGTACCTATATATGTAATATCAAAGCAATTTG